CAACGAAATGGCGCCCGGCATTGCTAATACTTGCTGATACTGGCTGATTCAAGCTATGCAGCAAACCTGTTTTCACCAAAGATTTCGCTTCTACAAGGAGTGTCTTGGCTCTGACAGTCCTCCTGGTTGACCTTCTGCTCGTGCAGTGCTGACAGGAGCCTCACTGACATGCAGATGTTGAACATGTCTTAATCCAAAAGGAAGAAATCTAGGGTGGGGCAGACTCGTAATGACCGCGCTGTCTACTTAAAGACAATGCACAGCAAAGAATAAGGGAAGGAACACTGCAGTAAGAATACTAGCCTGGGTATGAATACCTGCAGAACAACTGCAAAGGCAAGAATGAATCAACAAAGCAGTAAACGAACAATGAAAGCAGTAATATGTAATAATCAGTCTCACAAATCGACTTATAAATAGTAATAAGTCCTGAAGAATGACAAAGAAAGGCCAGGCCTGCCAGACTCGGCTGCAACCACCAAGGACTCCACAGCATGCTGTCCTGGCTAAGGCTTCAAATATGTTGGTCGGATGGATTCTTCCTGTAGCCATTTGGGAAATAAACAATTTGCTTGCATGATGCCCTGTTAAACTTGGAACTCAGGCCATGGGCAATTGATGTTCACTGTATTTCTCACCCAGCATGACCCTGCCGCTTCACAACAATGATACAAACCAAACTTGTTTATGCCCATGAAGCAATGCAAAAATATCCAGGCTCCCAGATCTCCAAACGCAACCCACTAATCTGTGTAAGCCCAGACCCATGTTTTCTCAGCCAAGGAGCTCAGGCGATCGAATTCCACCGCGGCCACTGCCACCTACAGACCCGCGAGGGCTCCGAAGTCCAAAAAAGTGACAGAACGTCAATCAGTTCAAAGAAACTTGGACTGAGTCATGGCATTGTTATGCAGACCGTGGGCACACCAAATGCTTCTTCCAACCCATGCTGGCAGAAACCTTTATGACCTTTACACTGAGACCCCCCCTCATGTCCAAGCATGGGCATTCCGCCTGTGATGAGGACAAGAAATCCTAAATATCATAATTCTTGACCCCAGCCATGACCCAGGCCTGTGCGGTGCCACATTTCCGCAACGCATCAACGAGCTCCCCGGACTGTGCTGCCTAAAGCAAGCGCTTCTTTTGTTCATGAGTATACTACTACAGCCAAGAAACACGTATATTCCGAGATCTATGCTGAAAAACGAAATCGTACTTGACTTGTATAGCTGTGAAAAAAACACCAAGATCTAAGCGACAGCGATACAACTGCTTGCAATGTCATTTGCCTGCGTTAATGTGCTAGCGCTTTGTGAGCGTAACCCGGCCTTCAACTTGCAAATCCGAAGCCGAGAAACCACGGAAAATGCGTTGCTTGATACAAGAGCTGTGAAAGGCAAAGGCATAAGTCCTCCACCCTTATTGCAAATCCCAAGCTTTCCACTCAGCAGTCCAAGACTTTGCAGACCGCGACCTCTTATCCACAAGATACCGTGCAACTTGTGCAAGCGGTAGCTCGTTAACCATGATGATGACCATCGTTCTACATGATGGTATGGAGTATTTTGCCGAGACCTTTGTGTTGCAATGTGGATAGCAATGATTCATGGAACGATGGTGCTCGCAATCTTTGGTGAGACTGATTGATTTGTGAAGACTGATGACTGGTGCCGCTACTTGAAGGACGTGTCTTCAACTTAGGGTCTAACATGTAAGGTCAAAGCTGATAGAGCTACGGCTGTTACGACCTCAGGTTAAGCGTCTGAAATTTGCTCAAGATGCAATTGCGGAGGATTCCATGACGCCAGTATTTGAAGAACTAGCAAAGCTATGCATTCAAAGTCTCCACGTGCGTGAGTTTATCAACAACCTCTTATGACATCTTGCTCCTCGTCCCGGGCCGCTCGTGGCTAAGGCTTTGGGGTGGAGGTTCGCAGCTTTTAACCTGGTTGTAGCAACGCCCTGAAAGGTTTTCCCCAAGGTTGTGGAGAAAGGGAGGCGTCCAAGGTTTTAGTTTAAAAGGGTCTTGCAGGCGGCCGATGCAAGGCTGCGGACAGCGTCAGCAGTATGTCCAATGTGGTTTTGTTCATGCAACAGATGTTTACTTGAATCCCTATCCACGCCTGTGGGGATTCCCACAACTCCCCTGTGCGGGGGCCTAGGGCTCATACGCCAATGTACCAAGCCAGCCAATTATCCTACGGAAATCTGTAGCGTGAAGCTGGTAATCAAGCGTCTGCGAATCCAAGACCTCCGGTCTTGGTCGTCGCTTTTGCTTCAGCACGCGGCGGGTCCTCGGGATGGGCTTGTTCATCTTGATGATATCGAGCGCTTTCTGGCCGCCATTACTATCAGCGAACTTTGGAATCTAGCCGTGCTGGGATCGTCGTCCACCCGAAGCCCTTCAGGGCGATAAAGCTTGAAAGCCTCGTTGTTCGTGGCCATGCCCGCCCGCAGTACCAAATGGTGGCTCTGGCGCCTGATCTAAGTCTCCACTGCTTTGAGTAGCAGGTGGACCGACTAAGTGAAATGCCCACGTTCATGGCAAAATCGTCTTGGTCTGTCATATCCATGCATGTAAATTCCGTCTTCTTAAACATGTGTTCATGCTCATCTGCCAATTGCTGGACCACGCCGCCAAGCGCCGTTGTCAGCGCAACCCAAAACTGCCGGCTCTTGCTCGGCCGACTGCGTCTTCTCTTTGCCGGTCTTCATCCTCAGCGGCTTGCGTGGGTTTTCAATGGGCTCAGCTATATCCGCCTTTGGCACTTTGCCTGCTCGGATGACAGGATGGGGTTCAGCGTGAGGCGCGTGCAACAATGTCTGGCTGCTCCGTGGTTCAGCCTAGTCAACATCGGTCACCAGAGCGAGGCGTTGGGCTGAGCAAGCCAAGTGCACAAGAATCGCCCCACCCACCTCCGACCAAACCAAGGCACCTTGGATTTGGCTGGAGGTGGCATCCACAGTGATGGTGATCTTGGATCCATCGTAGCCGCTGACCTCTTGCTGTGGCTCCTGGAATCCAATGGCATACTTCCAGATATGCTGGATGATGCCATTGGCATCCGTCATCAGTTGTGGCCACACGGCAGGAGCACCATGCGTGTATTACCAATTGCCTGAGCCAGATCTGGTTGCGGCATAGAACCGCTCCCCCTTGATATAAATCCCTGGTAGGGCTACCTTGCTCACAACACCTTGAAACCCTTTGACTCTTCAATCTCTTGGAGTTTAAGTCTCCCACCAGTACCATCAGCAACGCATGTGCCACCTACAACCCGTTGGCGGCAAGAACAACAAACACAACAGGGCTCCCGTTTTGCCCAATATATACCCTAATACTCCTAGAAGCCCAATGAAGGGTGCCCCTCCAAACCCTAAACCCTAAACCCTAAACCCCTGAACCCTATGCCCCCTCCCTGGATGCCTGGCAGAGAGCCGAGGAGGCCTTCTGCCCAGCATTCCGTCCAGCGAAGCGCTGAAGGAGGTTCCAAAGCCTTGCTTGATTCTGCAGGGAATGGGGGCAGGCCTCTAGAAGCACTATAAGCGCTGAGTATATAGGGACTACTATATAGGATCCATCCCTCCATTTCCTGCTCATCATCGGTATGTCCTTGAATTCTGCCTCTCCATTCCGAGGAAAGCCATTTTGTCCGAAAAACACTTGTGGAGTTATCATGATGATGTAGTAACGCCATCCAACAATCAATCTCACATTGATGCTTGTGTCACAGTGCTCAAGATTTAGAAGCTTTAAAGGATTTCAAGGGGCAGTCTCATTAGTTTCGAGCTTGCTGCACCAGGAAAAGATGTTGAGGTCTGGGGTTTCAGAAGTTCCTTGCATTAAAAGCGACCCTTCCCACATTGCTGTGCTCCCTCCTCCTGCTTCTGCTGATCAGGCACCAGTAGTGAAAGAAACCTCGAACTGCGCTGTGTATGCTGGAGGAATTCTGCCAAGTTTTACATCAGAATGCTTGAGCTTGTTGCTATACAAGTCACATGAGACAGACATGAAGCTGCAAATCGACGTAACTTGGTTTGCTCCCGAAAAATGTGGAAGCAACAAGCTGTTCAGAGTGCACTGCTCGCCTTGATTGTGACCTTCATTCGGAGATTTGGGATCCTCCCTTTTCCCACGCCAGCCACATGCTTACGACATTGCAGGGGTTGCAGCAGGATTGCACGGGACGAGAGATGAGAAACTTGGAGAACATCTGTGAGTATTTGTGAGGTCCAGGCGACCCGAAAGCCTCTCCCTGCCTCTCTTCACCAGCTCTTCCGTGCAATGCTATTTTCATGAAAACAATCCTGAGGATGTCTACTCTGTGCATGAGCACAGTTTCCAGCTAGCTACCAGGGTCCTGTAATCAAAGTGACTACATGAAAGCTGCATTCTGCTCCATCTGGGTCCAGCAACATGTCCTGTCAGCAACCGCGCAGCAAAAGGCTAAGTTCAGCTCTGAACCTCAGCCTGAACTGCAGTCGGGCCGCTCCCCTGTCTGCGCACCATTCAGCAGCGCCTCTGGGCAAGTTGTGGGATGTTGGCGTACTTTAGTGAAGTGGGCTATCCAGTCCCGACAGCCTCCTGAGCCTTCTGGCGTAGGTTCTCGAGCTGTTCGGGCATCGAATCCTTGTGTGCTGAATGCAGGTGTCTGCAGCAGTTCAGACCCTTAGCAGTGTCGCATGGGCCAACAGTCGCTGCGCAACCAAGAACCTTCTGTAACTTCCTCTACAAAGGCCAGCCGCATGGGAATGGACACCTACTTCAAAGCCTTTGCAGGAAGAACGGTGCAAAAAGAAAAGCTGAAATCCTTGCCGGCTTACACCTTGAGTCATCGCTGCTGCAAGTACATACTGAAATCGGTCCTGCGCTTTGGCTGCTTCTGCTGGCTCAGCAACAGCCGTTGCCGTCAGAGTGCTTTCCTCATCACGGGAAGGGTCTACGCTCTGGTCATATTCTCTGAGCAATCTTCAACTGACAGTGCAAACAGCTGTAGCTAAGCGGCAGGAGGGGCAGGCAACTGGACCGCGGGCTCTGTCGTCTCAACAACCGGCTCTTCTTTCTTGTCCGCAGTCTCTCTTATCTCGTAGGCCGGCTCTGCGATCATTACCGCGGGCTCTTCTTTGTCTGCCGGCTTGGTGGTGGGCTCAGGCAGCTGGGGATCCACCCTCTGAAGGCTTTCAGCCTCAGCCGGCTCGACTTTGGGAAGGTGCTCCTCCGCCGGCTGGGGCTTCTCATTTTCTGGCTCCATGGGCAAGCCAGCACCTAACAGATCTCACGAGGAGAGGTTGCAAAGAGCGTCAGACGGCACAGCAAACCTGCAAGGTTTCTTAGCTATCAAATCTGTTATCATTTCGGGCCTGTGCCCGTTTCCAGGACCAACTTCCGGATCGGCTTCTCCTTAGTAGATGCTGGGGATCACTGCGTTGGAGGCAATGAAAAAGCTGGTCTGCTGTTACGGGGTTCATGCCCCCAGACGTAGTTTACTGGGACATGTCTTGGCCACCTACAACAATTCTGAGAGAGATATGTAATGAAGAGAGGGGCTTGAATCTCTGTGGAAATGCCTGGATTGGGCACGACATGACTCTATACAGAAAAACAAGTAAGCCAAGTACAGAAACACTGCAGGAAATGTTGAACAATTCTCAAACATTGTGGTGCTTCAGATGGCATCCAACATCTGCATCTGTGCTGAAACTTAGTTTCGGAAGTTACTTCCGGTGCATGCCCGCTTCCATCTGTGAACATGCGCGGTGGCTTCCCACGTACGAATGAATGCCACCAGCAAAGTCTGTAAGCTGCATCAACACTTTCTTTTTCCGGTCTTCACAGGTTTTGGAGGTTTCAATGACAAGCAACAAGCCCAAGTTTCTTTATAAGTTCCACTTGGAACACGACCTCTCATGGGGAAGACAGAGTAAACATCAGGACCTGATTGCGCAAGCCGCGCCTTAGCCAGCTTGGGGTCGTCATCATTGCTTTCCGCCACGCTGAGAGCCTCGGCGTGGACTGGCATGGGATTAAATTTGGCGAACATCGATACTGGTTTGGTTGCTTGGGGGCCCATCATTGAAAGGAGAGCTCCTGTGATACCCTGGTGATTGGGGTCGGTATTGCTATCTGACGTTTGCTCTCGGCCCAAGAATTCAAGCTTGCTTCAGAACTATGGGTTCGATTTTCTGGAGTCTCATTGTGCTGGGGGCCATGTGCTTTGAAGGTCTGTCAGCGTGATGCTAGAAGCTGGTGCAAGGACCATTGAGTGGCCGGCATCCAAAGGTCCATTGCAGACTTCGGCCTGTGAAGATAGAGCATCTGGATGGCCGGTATCATAGGTAGCACTACAGCGACTTTTGATGATGGGTTTGATTACGGTGGTTGTTACTGCCTCATGTAGTATACTGGTCAGCGGAACAGCACTCATCATCACATCTGCTTCCTTTGGATTTTTCGCCGTTGGTCCGCGGATGGCCTCCACAGTGTCACCAGCGACTTCCACGCTCATCTGGCGGGATGTTTCAATGAAAGACTTTTGTTTGAGACCCCGGTTTGTGTGCCAAGGCTACTCTGCCTGCTGCATGAAGCATGAGCTGTCTGTGCGCCTTGGCAAGTGTTGCCTCCCCATCAGCCAGAGGGCTGGAGTTTGCCTTGGTGGCTATCCCGTGTCTGGTAGCTTTGTTACTGAAGGCAGGAAGCAACATTATAAGGTCGTGGTGCGGGCCCTGCAACTTCTTGCAAGCCGGGCCCCTGGACATTAAAAACTGAGCTTCGGCCTTTGCCTGCTAGCGAGGGGAGTAGGTTGAAAGGCGAGTTGTGACAGTTTCTGTAGGCCGATTCCTTCCGGGGGCAATATTCTCCATGAGGGATCCCTTGAGCGGGTAGCACACAGTTTTTTACCCATCCTCCATCTGTCCTTCTTACAGGAGAGTAAAGCCAAGTAGCATCTAAGGCAGATCCAGCTGTCCCCTGCGTCGGTGAGGCCTCTGAGGGCGGCAGGCATAGCTTGGGATGGTCTTTGCATGGAAGGCTTTAAGAAAGTTGGAGACTTCCAAAGACAAGGCCTCACTGGCTCCTCAGTGTTGTGCTAGAGTCTTACTCCGGTTTGTGGCTCTGCAAATGCACAAGCGCAACATTTGGCCCGTCAAAAAACACAATTACTACGAACAGTCCGTTCTGCCGTACAGAACCTATCCTAACCCGGTCGTGATGCCGCTGTGTTGACGCCCTAAAGCTCAGCAGCAACAAACCCTTGTTCAAACATGTCAGCGGTCATGCTCATTTCCTTACTTAGATTGATATGGTCTGTAACTCATGTGAGGTAAAACGTTTGTTTCTAGCATTTCTCAAAATGACATTCGCGCACATGCTCGTTCCTACAAAGCTCTATATTAACCAAATTTCCATTTGATATTCCATGGTCTCTTCCATTCTATTCTCCTCAGTTGTTGGGGGTAATGTCCCCTAGCCCTATATGGCCCAGTGTTTTCTGCTGCAAAGGCCCGAGCTGTGGGAGCTTTGACGGCCTGCTCAAGGCAGCAAAGATCCAAACCAAGACTCTTCAAGAGAATCACAGGAACAGCACGGTAAAGAAGGACGAGGAGGATAGGAACAATGACAGCTGGTTCTGACTGTCAAAACTACGAAGAAACAATGCAGTCGGCCATGCATCTAACCCACTGGATCTTTGCAACACCAGGATGTGATTGTTCCGGTGAGAGCCGCATGCCGGAAAAATGTAACGTGCACTGTTTGTGCCAGCCTAAGTACAGGGCCTCAAACATGAGCACAGCAATATTCGCTACGCTTCTGAAAAGCAACCAAAGTCCGAAAGACGAGCGTCCTACGGACCAGCACCAAACAGCCCTCCTCCTGCTGCCACTCCTCCACTGCTCCCACATCTGGCTCTACTATGAACAGTGGCAACCAAACAACTGAATAGGGTTATAGCAACTATGGAAGAACTGGGATTTTGTGATAATTTTCCTAAGTGTTCAAGCTCCTGCAACACAAGTCAGTCTGACCTCTGGTGCTGGAGCTGCTTTCCGACGGATGACCAGGGGCTCTGCCTGTGCAGGCGGCTCAAACGACTTGCGTTGACGGGTCTTCAGTTCTGAAAGGCCCGAAGGTTTTTTGGGACTTAGGGGTTTTGGGGTATTGAAGTTTCTGGTCGCTTCAGGGTTAGCTCTCAAAGGGTTTAAGAGTCTCAGGGCTTTGGATTTGGATTCGCATTCAGGGCGGGCGGGCGCATGAGGAGCCTAAAGGTGAGACTGAAACTTTTGTAAAGGCAACCTCTTCCCCTATACCCACCACGTGAGAACACATAGTTATTGATGGTTCCTGACCAAGTACAGATGCCTGACGGAAAGGGAAGCTAACACGGCTAACGTCTATCTCTCACTTGCTTTCTTTCTCCCTCTGTTTTTCTACAGTTTTGTGCACTTGCTAGCATAATGCCCTGCTGGATGAAATCTGAAATGGAAAACGTAGCAGTGAGAAACCTTTTCTCCGGATTTGAATGACTGCCGTTGCCTGTGCCCTAGCTGGTGCAGGCAGCGCCGGTTCTGGCTCCACCTGTCCACGACGAAACGGGTGACCCAAGTGCAGCGCAGATGGGCGTGGCTTACTTGTTGCTGGAATGCAAAACACAAGCTGTTCCTAGCACGAATACTGTTACGCTTTTTGTCCTAATCTATTGCAGTAGTTGTGGTTTGATTTCCAACAATACTTAAAACAAACCGGAAAAACCACGACAACAACAACAACAACAACAACAACAACAACAACAACAACAACAACAAACAACAAACAACAAACAACAAACAACAAACAACAAACAACAAACAACAAACAACAAACAACAAACAACAAACAACAAACAACAAACAACAAACAACAAACAACAAACAACAAACAA